GAACCGACAGATAGGACACATGGGTTCTTGGTGGTTCATGAAAGCTTTTCTAGCTGTCATGACATTTGTAAGATAGATTTAGACAAATAACGTTAGTCTAAGTCTATGAAGTCTGAGTCTAAGCTAAACCACATCTTTATTTTAGTACAATGCTACACTGGCAATAACTGCTGCAATGCAGAATGAGCAATAAGTATATATATATATATATATATATATATATATATATATAATTCAATTCTATTCCGTTTATTTTTATAGCTCAAATTCACATCATGTCATCTGAAGGCTCTTTCCAGTTAAAGCAGATCTACAGAGCTTTATTATAGAACATCTATATAAACAGCCATGCAAACAGCCTGTTTAATAACCCTGGATAATAATCCTGCTATAATAATAATCTGTTCTATGGGGACGCCCTTTATATACTCTATATTTCCCATCATGCACCTCTTTCCTCCTTTGTCTCCTTCTTCTTCTCCTTAAATAAACTCAATAATTAATCTTCTGAACCATGAAGCTACCTCCACCTTACTCTCAGCTTTAACATAGATCTTCAGGCTCAGAAGTTCTTCAGTGTTTCTGCTGCAGTTTTTATTCGGACTCTCCTGGAACATCTGGACCGATCAGAGAAACTGCAGCCGGAGCTGGAGGCTCTGAGGCCGGTCAGGAGGAACCAGGTGACCCCGGTGATCTTACCTCCGTCAGCAGCAGCTGCTGGTTCCGCTCAGAAACAGAACAAGTAGAATTTCAGTTCTGAGCTGCTAATCAGAGCAGAAACTGCATCCAGGAACAGAAGAAGAAGAATCCTCTTCCTGCTGTTTCCTTCCGCCTGATCACATGATGCAGTCACGTGACCACCGCGCGCCCCCTGAAAAAGGTTCCCGCAGGTTTTCTTTGGGTTCATCTAGTTGGACTATTTCTATAAACTGATTCATTTCCCGTTGAAACTAATTATTCATCAAACTTTAGAGGAAAATAAAATCAGTTTAATGTTTTTTCTAACATCTAGATACTGATAATCGGATGATTTCATCAGAAAATAATCTGATTAGATTAAGAAAACAGGGCGGTCATGTCTCACCCACTGGGAGTGAGACTCACCCATCAGTGTCTTCACTCTCTCACTCCTTTTCTCCATCTTTTCACGCAAAAGAATGACGGACATTAAAACTAAACTCCATTCCAGTTATTTATATCTACAAATACAATGCTGATAAAAACCCAGTCCGCGTTTTCAACACAACCTTAGTGCTGCTAACATACAGGGAGGAGCCGGGTTCAGATCCGGTCCGTATTTTTCCACCAGCACACCTGTTCACTGAGCCAGATATTAAAATAGCTGCAAATAGGTTACTACCAGGAAGGACATTTGATTTGATTTAATCTGGACTAAGATTATTCACTTTGTAAATTAATGAAGAATTGAGCGCTTTAGTAAATATGAATAAACTATATAGCAGCTGGCTTAAATAATCAATGTGAGAGTTTAGGATCCAACTGTTTATTTTCTCTACATCTACAGCTGTTTTTATTTATTTTATTTTTTTAATCAGTCTTTAATCCTTGTTTACTCTAATTTAGCCTCCTGGTTTAATCTCAGTTTAGTCCATGTTTTGCTCAGTTTATCTCCCGTTTGATTTTTGGACTAATTAAACCAACAGTAAACTAAACTCTTAAAGCTTTCAGGTTTGACTCACAAACCCAAAAGAGATCCACAACAGAAAAGATTGATTGCATTTTATTTTTCAAAAGATCAGCCAAGAAAAGACCAACTGCATCCAGAGAGGATGTGCAGAACAGCTCAGTTACCCTGAAACCACAGAGGAGAAACCAGAGGGATGCATTTAGGTCACAGGTTTAACTTTCTGAAGGACTGGTGGGGAAATCATTTCAATTCACTGATTATTTCAGTTAACTGATTTTTAGATTTTATTCAAGTATAATATGAGAAAAAAGTCAGAATTCTAAGATTAAAGTCAGAATTCTGAGGAAAAAAATATCAGAATCTGATCTGACTTTTTTCTCATATTATACTGAAGTAAAATGTGTTAACTTTCAGAAATGTTTTCAGTGGTCCTAATCCTGCTCCGTACTCTTTTCTAAATTAGATTTAGCTGCTTTTGAAGGAGGATAATCACTGATGTCGTTAAAATGGAAAACTTCCAATCAATCAATCCACATTTTTCTGGATGGATGAAAGTGAAATTGTTTGCATTCTAGGGAGGAATGATTTATTACTGTTGGCATCAGAATCAGCTGTTATTCATCCTTTTTTTTAATATACCGGTACATTAATGTTTAACCGTCCATAAATATAAATATCAGTTTATTTTGGTTCTACTGTGTTCTCAACAAAAGGAAAGCTCATTAAACGTGTTTGAGCTCAATTTTGTAAAAAAACAAACCCTGTTGAAGGCGTTAGTGTGGAGTAACTGTAGGTCCACCCCCCCCCCCATACCCACCAAAGTTACACCCTTTATTTATCTCCATTAAATGTTTAAAAAGTTAATTTCCATCATATCTACCAAAATGAAACCTCTACAGAAATGCTGTCGCATCAGAGAGAGTTTTTATAGAATCTACAGCCTCATAGGTCTGAATTTCCAATAGTAAAAATTAAATAAGATAATTAGGATTTTAATCCTTAGCCTATTACCAATAATCCAGTAATGACTCATTTGTTTCACATTATTTATTTCACTTGAGTTGCATAGAATTATTAATAAACAGTTTAGAGTAATTTCCCTCTGCGATTATTAAAGTCTGATTCTGATTATTCAGTATTTTGTGGGACTAATACTTTTATTTCAATTCTCTAAAAATCACCAGATTATAAAAAATGATGTATGTTGTGTGAAAATGTTCCACATAACTACGGATCACTTCTTTTTATTCAGTAACGTTTGTTTCAGTTAAATCCTCAGAGTCTGACACGGTTTCCTCTCCAACGATTTTAAAATCTCGATCCAAGGTTTGCTGAAAAGTTGGCAGCCCTGAGAAAGTGAAGCAAACATTCGGTTCATTTCTAAAGCTCTGGTTAGATATTTCTATTTTATATGAAAACATATTCTAGTGATGCTAAAGAGTGACATGGGTTACCATGGTTACAGAGTGAAACGCTGCATTAATTAACATTTTTATTAATTTCCTTATAAAACTGAAATGACTGAACCATGAAATCCCAGAGAAATATTCAATTTAGTATTTATGGAGAAAAGGGAGAAAATAGAAGAGAAAACATAGAAGAGAAAACATAGAACTGTTTTTTAGCGTTTGAAATGTTCAGACACTTTAACTGAAATAAACAGTTAATGATAAACTCCTCCTGACGCGTTGCCATGGTGACAGAGTAAGCAATGAACATGTGAAGGTGTTTCCATAGCGATGTGTAAACAAGTAGCAGAAAATGTTGGCAGGAAGAGACAGAGCGAAGGAGGAAGAGGAGAGGAAGGAGGAGAAAGAGGAGGAACCCAGCAGGAACCCGGAGGTTCTGCTCCTAGAGTCCGTGGATGACGCTCTGAGGAACCTCCTATGCAGGCTGGGTCTGAGCCGCGCTGCCAGCAGCTTTGAGGTGGAGTGGTACGGCTCGGCTCGGACCTTCATCCCAGACGCCTGGACCCACAGGCGGCTCCTCCTGGAGGAGCTGGAGGCCGTCAGCAGGGACAGCCGGCTGCACAGGGAGGAGGTGCTGGAGGCGGAGCAGATATTGGTCAGAATGCAGAGCGAGATCCGTTTCTGTCGGCTGCAGCAGCAGAAGGTCTTGGAGCAGAAAAGGAGTCTCCTTAGCGAACGCAGGCAGCTGCAGGAACATCTGGAGAACTCCCAGGAGGCGCTGAGGCAGCTGGAGGAGAAACACCAGGCAGCTCTGAGGAGCAAAGCTCTCCTCGCCTTACAGAGACAGCGAATCCAGAACCTTCCAGAACCGGATCCCATCCAGGAGAAACCCAACGAGAAGCTTCCACCAAAGAGCTTCTGCAGACGGGTGAGAGAGTCTAGATGTTAGAGCCTAGAGGGTAGAGTCTAGATGTTAGAGCCTAGAGGG